GAGGATATGCTTCTTTTTAAAAATCTTCATGGCTTATGGTTGAAGAAGAAATGGAATTACAATCTCTTGTTTCCAAATATTTGTTACCAAGTTTCTAAATACTTAAGTCTAATAATTAAACAACTGTTTGGAAGAGACTGACATAATCTGGTCCAACTGTTGATGCTCCTAGTAGTTATTATGTGTGCAGAGTGAATTAGCTCAGGTCACACTAATCAAATGTGTGTCAACTTTAGCCTAAAGGGTCTCTCGGTAGGTTTACAGCTAAAGTGCTTACGATCAGGCAAAGTTATTCCGTGAAATCTGGCTTTTATCGAGACTAAGGGCATGGGATGCTCTCCAACCACAGCTTCTCATGGAACAGGTATTCAAAGCTATACTCTCAATGCAGAGTGGGGACAGGACCCTACATTATCTCCATGATATCACTGCCTATTCAATAGAAATGATTCCGGTATAAAGGCTACAGTTTCTGGGGCTTTCATGGGTGTCCCAACATCTTTCAGTATCAGGAACCATCAAAGAAGATCAAACTCTGAACATCGCTTAGTCCTACGCATGAGTGAGTGAGGAGCTCTGAAAGACCCTGATTTTGATTAGATCCTTTTGAACACCAAACTCTTTCTACCTTCCTGCAGAAAATTAACTGTTATTTTCAATATGTAGGAGTCCTTCTGTCCATGCTGATAAAACTTGGTGGGTGAACCCTCATCACTGTAAGTTAAAGCCATCATGTATAGACAAACATGGAAACAATAGTGATATTGATCATAATACAGAAATATTAGTGAAATCTCATTCTGTGCTGGTCATCTTATGTCAATTAGCTCAATTTAATCCTGAAGCATAGTTACTCTTATGTCCCACATTTTAATGATGATAAAGCAGAGACACAGAAGGGTTAAGTAGCATAGCATGCCCACAGTCCCACAGATTAAAAAATAATTAAGTTAATCAAGAAAGTGAGTTGTCTCCTTTCAACATAAGAATAGTTAATCATTATAAAGTACTACCTCTAAGAAACTATGTGCTTGGTTTACATTTGATTTAAAGAGAGAAATTAATAATAAACAGCAGAAAATACGGAAGTCAATATGTCATTGCAAACGAAGACCAGTTGTCGTCAGAAGCCCCATCCTCAACTGAGAAGAAAGGTCCTAGGGGCAACCTCCTGAAGTACCAGCAGCATCCCATACCCTTTCTGCCTTCAGTGACTATTGTGTGACAGAAATGATACATGCATGGCAGGAGTGATCCAGTGAGGAAGAGGATGCATGATTGCTCTAACAGGACAAAGGCCTGAGAAGTGACTACAAAAATGATTACTGTTTCTTTAGGGGTGCCTGGGTGGCTCTGTCGAATAAGCATCTGACTCTTGATTTCAGCTCAGGTCATGATCTCATGGGTTGTGAGTTCAAGCCCCCCATCAGCTCTGCATTGACAGAGCAGAGTCAACTTGGGATTCTCTCTTTCTCCCTCCCTCTCTGCCCCTCTGCCCCAAATAAATAAACTTTAAAAAAATGATTACTGCTTCTTCCTGCAGATACTTGGCTTCATGGGGACAATCCTCTAGATGAGTATGTTACATATTTAAGCATGCTTACAGATTCCTGCTTGCCCCTTGAAAGACAAGAAGCTCTAGAGATAAGAATGAGGCAGGAAGACATGGTGGTGAACCATAGTTCAGTCCAGGGCACAAATGGTTTGATATGACTGAACTTCAGGATGGGATGAGGAGGATAAAGCTGTATGTGTCTGGCAGAGGCCAGATCATGAGAAGCCTTCTCTACTAGCATTACTCAAATTGTGGCCCACCACCTGCAATAGTAGCTTCATGGAAGGGCTTGTTAGATGTACAAGTCCTTAGGGCACACCTCAACCCTAGTGCATCGAAATCTGAAGTTCCACAACCTATCTTTTAACAGTCTATCCTTATTATCCTTATATAGTATGTGGACTCTTCCACATACTAAAGCTTGAGAAAAAAAAAAAAAAACTGTTATTCCATTTGCAAGAACAGTTTTGGTTCTTTCTGAATAAAACTTTCAAACCGTGAGTTTGTATACATTATGGAGACTGATTCTACAAGTTGGCAAATTCCTTATACAGGTTTGCTCATTTTACTCTTGAGTGGCACAAGTACAGAATAGACCCAAGGCAGGACAGCAAAGATTTCAAAAACTGTATCAATATTGGAACCATCACTCAAAGAAGGAGAGATGGAAAATACCCCAACACTATGAATCTTTAAAACATTCATTAAATAATGCAAGAGTCAAAGAGAAAATTACCAAGGATATTAGAAAATACTTTGAATCAAATAAAATTGAAAATACAAAATTATCAAAAACTGTGAGATATTGCTAAAGAGCACAGACAGAAATTTATGACATTAATCTTCACATTAAAAAGAGAAGAAGGGCACTTGGGTTGCTAAATCAGTTGAGTATCTGACTTCAGCTCAGGTCATGATCACACAGTTCTTGGGTTTGAGCCCTGCATCAGGCTGTGTGCCGACAGCTCAGAGCCTGGAGTCTGATTCAGATTCTGTGTCTCCCTCTCTCTCTGCTCCTCCCCCACTCACCCTTTGTCTCTCTCTCTCCCTCAAAAATAAGTAAACATAAAACTTTTTTTAAAAAAAGAGAGAAGAGAGGTCTCCAATCAATGAACTAAGCTTGCACTTTAAGAAAATAAGGGAAAAAAAGAGCAAACAGAGCAAAACCACAGCAAACAGAGAGAGGAAAAAAAATAACAGTAAAAGCTGAAATCATTGAAATTTAAAATTAAAAAATAGAGAAAAATTAATAACAAAAACAGGTTCTTCAAAAAGACTTAAAATTGATCACCTTCAAGTCACAATGAATAAGAAATTTATACAAATTGTGAACATCTGGAATGAAGTATGCTCTGAAGACATTAAAATATTAATAAGAATTTTTCATCATAAAGTAAATGTGAAAATATATATAAAATAAACAAGTTCCTTGAGAGATACAAACTACCAAAGCTCACTCAAGAAAAAAAAATAGTAGTCTGAATAGCTCTACCTCTATTAAAGAAATTGAATGTTTTATTAAAACCCTTCTAGGGGCGCCTGGGCGGCTTAGTCGGTTGGGCGTCCGACTTTCGCTTAGGTCATGATCTCGCGGTACGTGCGTTCAAGCCCCGCGGCGGGCTCTGTGCTGGCTGCCGGCTCAGAGTCTGGAGCCTGTTTCAGAGTCTGTGATTCCCTCTCTCTCTGACCCTCCTCTGCTCACGCTGTCTGTCTCTCTCTCTCTCTCTCTCTTAGAAATAAATTTTTTAAAAAATTAAAAAAAAAAAACCCTTCTAACAAGGAAAATTTCAGGCCCAGGGTGGCTATACTGGAAAATTCTGTTAAATATTTTAGGAAGAAATAATACTAATTCAACACAAAACGTTCTAAAAAACAGAAGAGAAGGAAATATTTTCCTAATCATTCTATGAGGCTAGCATTACCCTGAAACCAAACTCAGATAAGATGTTACCATACCTATCATAATAGTAGACACAAAAATTCTCAAAAATTAATAATAATAGTAATAATAATAATTGCAAATAAATTTAACAATACAGAAAAGGAGCAGTGCGTTATAAACAAATGGAGTTTGACCCTAGAATGCAACATTGGGTCAACTTTTGGAAATGAATCTATATAAATTATTATATCAAGACACTAAAGACAAACCATATGATCATTTCAATAGATACAGGAAAACTGAAGTTTGACACACATTTATGATTAAAATCTCTCAGTAAGCTAAAAATAAAAGAAAACTAGTTAACCCAATAAACGTATCTTTAAAAAATTAAAATCTACAAGAAACATCATAATTAATGATAAGGAAAGAATATTTTCTTCTTAAAATGATTGGAAGTCTTAGCTAATAAAATAAGGTAAGAAATTAAAGGTTTATATATTGGTAAAGAAGAAATAAAAATCCCAAGGAATCTAAAATTTTAATTTAATGAGTAAATTTAACAAGGAGGTAAGATACAAGGTAAATAATAAAAAATAAATTATATTTCTTTGTATTGGCAATGAACAATTGCCAAATTTTAATTTAAAAATCAATACAATTTATATAAAACTAAAAACATGAAATATTTAAGTATAAATTCAACCAAATATGTACAGTTTCTCTATACTTAAAACTAGAAATCACTTCATAGATTGGAAGTATCAGTGTTGTTGAGTGGTCAAATTCTCTGCAAGCTCATCTATAGATCTGATGCAATCCCCAAAAAATCCTTGTAGATTTTTTGTTTGTTTTTAGATAATGACAAACAAGTTCTAAAACTTACATTGAAAGTCAAAAGAACTAGAATAGTTCAAACTTGTTATAGCACACAAGTTGCTATAACAGTTAAAGCATTCAAGTACAAAATAAACATTGACCTATATTTTGCACTGTACAAAGTACAGTACATTGTACAAAAATTGACTCAAAATGTATCATGGACCTATAAAATCTAAAATGGAAAACGTGGGGCTCCTGGGTGGCTTAGTCGGTTAAGCATCCGACTTTCGCTTAGGTCATGATCTCGCGGTTCGTGGGTTCGAGCCCCGCGTCGGGCTCTGTGCTGACTGCCAGCTCAGAGCCTGGAGCCTGTTTCAGAGTCTGTGACTCCCTCTCTCTCTGACCCTCCCCTGCTCTCTCTCTCTCTCTCTCTCCTAGAAATAAATAAAAAATAAAATAAAATAAAATGGAAAACGTGTAGGAAAAAACATACAAAATCTCTGTGACCACATGTTTGGTAGAATTTCTTAGATTACGATCCCAAAAATCCAATACATAAAAGGTAAAAATTGATAATAAAGCTTTATCAATTTAAGACCATCTGCTAAAATAAAGATACTGTTAAAATAAAAGGAGCCATAGCTGAGAGAAAATATTTAGAAACCATATAATTTGAGAAGGTATTTGTTGCTGTTTCAGAATAAAGAATTCTCAAAATTCCCAAAAAGAAAAAAGAAAGAAATGTTTGCTTCATCAGTATATGCACTAAAAATTAGAACAATACAGGAAAGAGTAGCACAGGCCTTATGCAAGAATGACTCACAAATTCATGAAGTGTTCCATATTTTTACTGGTTCCAGGTGGCAAAAGATACAAGTTTCCAATTATTAGATAAATAAGTATTGGGGAATGTAATGTACAACATGAATTATCACCGGTCTATGATATATTTGAAAGTTCCTAAGAGAGTAGATCCTAAAAGTTCTCATCACAAGTGAAATTTTTTAAAAATGTTTTAAAATATGTTTTATTTATTTCTGAGAGAGAGAGAGAGAGACAGCATGAGCAGGGGAGGGTCAGGGAGAGAGGGAGACACAGAATCTGAAACAGGCTCCAGGCTCTGAGCTGGCTGTCAGCACAGAGCCCGATGTGGAGCTCGAACCCACAAACCATGAGATCATGGCCTGAGACGAAGTCGGATGCTTAACCGACTGAGCCACCCAGGAGCCCCTTTCTTTTCTTTTTTTTTTTTTTTTTAAATCTATAGGAGATTGTAACCAAACTCACATGAGTTCACTCCTTGGTGAGTAAGAAATTGCACCAAGTAAGTTGTCGCAGGAAGAAAACTTTTATTTTCTGCAAATAAGGCCATCATGAGAAATGGCTTCAAAGCAATGGCTCCCTGATAAAGGGTGAATCGCTGGCTTTTATTTTAGGGTTAGGATGGGTATTTATTGGAGCATTCAGCCCATTGACATTCAGTGTTATTATTGAAATATGTGGGTTTAGAGTCTTTGTGTCCTTTGTGGAGTTCATGCTTGTGGTGGTGTCTCTGGTATCTTTGTTCCTTGCAACCTTTCCTTCAGAATGTCCCCCTCAGGATTTCTTGTAGGACTGGCTTAGTGTTGACAAATTCTTTCAATTTCTGTGTATTTGGAAAGACTTTTATCTCTCCCTCTATTTTGAATGACAGGCTTGCTGGAGAGAGGATTCTTGGCTGCATATTTTTACAGTTCATCACATTGAAGATCTCCTGCCATTCCTTTCTGGCCTACCAAGTTTCAGTAGATAGGTCTGTCACCACTCTGATAGGTTTCCCTTAATGTTAGGGCCTTTTTCTCCCTTGCTGCTTTCAAAATTCTCTCTTTGTCCTTATATTTTGCCATTTTTACTATGATATGCCATGCAGAAGATTGATTCAAGCTACATCTGAGGGGAGTCCTCTGAGCCTCTTGTATTTCAACATTTACTTCCTTCCCCAGGTCGGGGAAGTTCTCTGCTATAATTTGTTCCAGGACTCCTTCAGCACCTTTCCCTCTCTCTTCCTCTTCTGGGATTTCTATGATACGGATATTGTTGCATTTGACCGTATCACTGAGCTCTCGAATTCTTCTTTCCTGTTTCTGGATCAGTTTGTCTCTTTTTTTTGGTCAGCTTCTTGTTTTTCTATCATGGTGTCTTCTAAATTACTTATTCTCCTTTCTGCCTCTTCAATCCGTGCATTGGAGGCCTCTAATTTATTATGTATCTCATTTATCGCATTTTTAAAAATTCTTCATGCCTGTTTTTATTTTCCATTCTGTCTGTAGCCATAGTTTCTTTGATGTCCCCTATACTTTTTTCAAGCCCAGCTATTAATTTTACCATTATTATTCTAAAATCTTGTTCAGTTATGCTGCTGATATCTGTTTTGAGCAGTTCATTAGCTGTCATTTCTTCTTGGAGTTTCTTTGGAGGAGAGCTCTTTCGTTTCATCATTTTAGTTAGCTTTCCGTCTCTTGTTGGTTTTAAAGACCTGTTAATGCTCTCTGTATCTATGAGCACTGCTATATCCAAGAAGACTCTTTGACTGTCCAGGGCCTATCCTTTCGGAGAGTGTTTTTTGAATGGTATGTCTTGGTCTCTGTTGTTGAGACCTTGGTTATTTTATTTTCCTATTTGTAGTGATATTTGGGACTCTCCACCTTGTGTACTCGCTTATTTCTTGAGGTAGCCCTGGAAAAGAAAACAGACAGACAAACACACAGGGAGCAGGAGCACACAAACGCACAGGCTAATTCAACTAACATGCAAAGCAAGAGGGAAAACGAAAAAGTTAAAAGAAAAGACGGAGGAGGGAGGGCGAATAATAGGGAGTATAAAATACATAAAAGGGTCAAAAAGGAGAAAAGAAAAGGAAAAAAGAAGAAAACCAATGGACAAAGAACAGTTTAAAGCATATAACCGGATTTCCCAGCTACAGTTAAATAGCCGTGTGTATGCAGTGCTGGTTGAAGAGCATAGAGAAAGAGAGTGAAGACAGGGCAGGGATGAGGCAAAATTGGAAATAGAATGAATAGGCAGAAGGGATAAGAAGCTTTTTTCAAGAGGTAAAGGGCAGAATATGGTTGGATAGGTGAGAGAAGGATGCTGGTATTATCCAGAGAAACTATATAGTCTAATTACTCCTGAGAGAAAGAGATGAAAATGTTGGTAGGTGTAGAATTTACATCTACAGAATGGACTCATTATGATTGTTTAAGCAAGCCGGCGACCAGAGTTAATCAGGTCAGTGTTCTGGGGAGAAAAGAGAAAGAAGAAGAAAAAAAAAAAAAGGGAGGAGGGCAGCTCTCAAGCAGGGATTGGGGTGGCGTGATCCACTGCCTCAGGTGGGAGTTCTGCCTTGGCGGTTGTGGGGAGGAGAGTGAAGGTGCTCCAGTCCCTTCTTGAAACAAGCACTGCACCTCGCTTTTTTGGGCGTGTAAAGTCCCCGTACCGGGGGTGCAGCCGAAGTTGGTTATGCTCTTCAACTCAGGCCAGTCCCAATCTCCAAATCCCAGTCCGCGCGCCCCGCTGAAATTGCCTTAGACACAGCTTCCCAGGCAACTCCCTCGGGGCAATTCCAGGCCCCCTGCGGAGCTCTGGGGGTGGAGTCAGAATTTCTGCTTCCTTTTCTGGGTCTGGCTGGCGAGCATGGGCGGGGGCTTGCCTGCCGGGTGAGCTGAGCCTGAGCCCGCTGGAGTGAGGAGAACCAGGTCCTTCTGTGGCTCGTCACCCGAAACAGGAACTCACAGGCAAATTTCCCAGTTTTTAGCTCTTTGCCTTCCCTCTAGAGTTCCAGCCAGCCAGGAGCGCGGACGCCCGGTGTCCGCGCGCGGCTCTTTCAGGGGCCCAAGCTGCCCGGCCGTACAATGGTGTCCAGTGCGCCGCTCCTTTGAAGTCCAGTCAGCCAGGAGCCAGCACAAAGAAGCAGTAAAAATATGGAACGCTTCATGAATTTATATGTCATCCTTGCGCAGGGGCCATGCTAATCTTCTCTGTATCATTCCAATTTTAGTATATGTGCTGCCAAAGCGAGCACGATGGGTATTTAATTGGGAAGCCTTATCTTCATATGTAGAGGCAGGCATAAGGTCACACAAGCACCTTAAGGCAACATGTCTATACTAATGTATGTTATGTAAATGAGACTGAGTCTCCTCCTTGAGTGGAGATTTTAGTATTATAATAAGGTAAAAATAATGGTAGATCTTTTCAGGGGCCAGTCCAAGGTCCATCTGCACAAGCTTGAGTTGGGGGGTTTAGCTCAAAAGGTCTGGGTGGTATGGGGCAGTGGGAGGGCCTGTCATTGCAGTCACCATCATCTGGGGGAGGGGGCTGCTTTAGGTCTCATTTGCCTGAGTTAAGAGGAAAATCTGAAAAAAGAGCTTGGGGAAAATGTAAGACAAAGGTTAGTGAACAAAAGCAAGCGGGCAGTAAAGGCCAAGTTTCAGGACATATCTGATGACAAGATGATAAATGTAACAAAACTTAATGCAGTCATCACTTCATAATATATGTAGGTCAACTGATTGCACTGTATGCCTTAAACTTGCATAGGACTATATGCCAATTATATCTCAGTAAAACTGAAGGAAAAAAGAAAAGAAAGAAAAACTTAAATTAGAAAATGGCAAAATATTTAAATAAACATTTCACAAAAGAAAATTGAAATTTGATGAGAAAACATATACAAAAAATTTTCAAAATTATTCATAAGAATAAATGCAAACTAAAAGTATAATGACCTCAAAAAAAAAGGAAAATGAAAACACTACAGCACACAACCTCTGGGTGCAACAAAAATGTCATAAGAGGGAGGTATAAGCAATCTGGGCCTCCCTAAAGAAGGAAGAAAGGCCTAAAATACACAGCCTAACCTTAAACCTAAAGAAGCTCGAAACAGAACAACAAATTAAGGCCAAAACCAGCAGAAGAAGGGAAATAATCAAGCTAAGAGCAGAAATCAAGGATGTCAGAATCAAAAACAAAAAAACAAAACAAAAACAAAAACAGTACGACAGATCAATGAACCAGGAGCTTGTTCTTGGAAAAACTTAATAAAATTGATAAACCCCTAGTTATATTGATCAAACAGAAAAATGAAAGAACCCAAATAAATAAACCCAAAAATGAAAAAAGAGACATCACAACCAACATCACATAAATACAAATTATTATGAGAGAAAATTATGAGTAATTATACACCAAAAATGTGGGCAATCTGGAAGAAATGGACAAATTCCTAGAAACATAAACTGCCAAAACTGAAGCAGGGAGAAATAGAAGATTTGAACAAACCCATAACCAGTAAAGAAATTGAATCAGTAATCAAAAATCTCCCAACAAACAAGAGTCCAGGACCGGGGTCAGATTGCTTTCCAGGGGAATTCTACCAAACATTTAAAGAAGAGTTAACGCCTATTCTTTTGAGCTATTCCAAAAAATAAAAATAGAAGGAAAACTTCCAAACTTTTTCTATGAGGCCAGCATTACCTTCATTCCAAAAGAAGACAGACCCCGCTGAAAAGGAGAACTACAGAGTAATTTCCCTGATGAACATGGATGCAAAAATTCTCAACAAGGTACTAGCAAACCAGATCCAGCAATACATTAAAATAAATATTTACCATGCCTAAGTGGGATTTACTCCTGAGATGCAGGGCTGATTCAATATCCACAAATCAATCAATGTGATATATCACATTAATTAAAGGATATGAGGCACATGATCTTCTCACTAGATGCAGAAAAAGCATTTGACAAAATACATCATCTTTTGATAAAAACTCTCAAGAAAGTAAAGATAGAAGGAACATACCTCAAGATTA